CCCGGCACCGGGGAGGTTAGTGGAGGCGACCCTGCAGGGGGCAACACTGTCTGGTTTCTCTGAATTACTGGGCAGCACTCCCCAAGCTGGCCTGCCTCTGTCCTGCTCCTCTCCATGTGTAGGGGAAACAGCCGCCCCACGCCAGTCCCTGTCTCCTGGCTTGCACTGACAGGGTGGCTGCCCTGGCCAGGTGTCCTCCTCTCCCTCCCTGCCCTGCACGGATCAGGAGCCCCCTTCTCCAGCCCTGCTGTGGCAGGTGGCTGCCCCAGTTAGGGGCTCTTCTCCCCTTCTCCTGCATTGCCCTGGGGAGCTGGCAGCCCGTGGGTGGCATGGAGCTCTGGATTTGTGTGTAATAGTTCCTGCTGGCGCTCACTGAGCGTGCCTGGGGTGCTGTGCCACCTCTTCTGCCCACCATCCCACCTGGTGTGGGCCTGGCCCTCTGAGGGGGCTGGGGCCTGTGTTAATCATCTCCTAGGGTTTGATGATGAGATCAGAGAGTGAGAAACCAGATAAACAGGTGGAGCCTGCCAGGGCTTATGGGGCTATCAAGCCATAAAACCAGCTGGGACAAGGCCTCAGACTCTTCTGATAAGCCAGGCCATGTGAGGGAACAGGGCTGGGCCGGTTGTGCGTATGTGACCACCTGGGCACTCAGCTAGCTCTGTGACCTTTGCCCAGGTACCCAGCGCATAGCTGGGGCTCTTGGCTCAGGGGATCTCCAGTGTGGGTGATGCAGGAAGAAGTCGTCTAATTCTGAGGAGGGATTTGATCTGTGGATTTCTTGTGTTGCCTGGCATTGGGCTTAGGCAGGCCTCTCCTCCAGTATTAAACTGGGCTGTCCTGTCCAACTTTTGTGGGGTTTGTTTCCCATCCAGTACCGAGATCGAACCAGATGTGGTTTTGTCCTGTATTGGGCAAACGCCCTTTTGAAGAGCGTGCTGTTCCATCCCTGCTAGGTGCATGCAAGGTCATGATGGGGAGGGGGCGAGGTCATGCCGGCAGGGGTATGTCCACGTCATTCCCAGAAGTATATCCAGTATCCAGGAATGCATGAGGCCACCCTAACTCGAATGGGGGCAGGCTGCCAGTAACCCAGTAGATGCTGCTGCTGGGCTCACCAGTATGTGAGGCCTCTGTATGGCAGCTGCCCATGGGAAGGCCAGACGAGCCATTTCGGTCTAAGTCCGTCTGCCTCTCCCCAAATTCAAATGTCCTTCTGGGCTAAGTCGTCTCCTGCCCAGACTGGCTCCATGAGGTTGTTCTGGGTAGTTACAGTGTTTTTGTGTAGACAAATCAGCGCAGCGCAGCCCCCTTGTGTGGCCACACTTCTCTTGGTATTAAGTTGCTTAGCCTGGGAGAACTTATCCAACTCAAGCAATGCTGCTAACTGCAGACACCTAGGGGGTTATATCAATTTATCTACATTGATTTTTCTACCATCGTAGTTGTCTGTGCAAAGCTGTGCTTGGACCAGCCCTGAAAGCGATCTCTGTCCCTCCGCAGCACCAGAGTTCTGTAATACACACTGAGGCCTGCTTTCTGTCCAGCCCCTTCTCATTTCCTCTGCGTCCTGCTTCTCATCACAGTGCTGATCACTGATGCCTCATCTTGTGAGGGAGCTGTGCTGGTCCCCCAGGGCTTGACTCTGCTTAGGCAAAACAAGTGCAAGCACAATGTGCTCAGCGCTACACCACAGTGTACGTAACGTCCAGACAGCTTTCTGTCCAGCTGGGGGCCAGGGTTTGATTCCTTATTCACCTCCTGTGATTTTTTTCGGGGTTACCTGAGGTGTCTGGGGTGAATCACTACCACTTGCTCACAGGGTGGGGGGAGTCCTGTCTGCCCACCATGGGAAACCCTCCCAGTCCACTGGCTGCTTGCATCACAGGCAGTTACATGAGCCCCACTCTTTTCTATAGGAACATAAGAATGGCCATACTGGGTGAGCCTAATGGTCCATCTAGCCCAGGATCCTGTCTTCCAACAGTGGCCAATGCCAGCTGCTACAGAGGAACTGAACAGAATAGGGCAATTATCCAGTGATCCATCCCCTGTTGTCAAGTCCAAGTTTCTGGCAGCCAGAGGCTTAGTGCCACCCAGAGCATGGGGTTGCATCCCTGACCATCTTGACTAATAGCCATTGATTCACCTGTCCCCCATTAACTTACCTAAATATTCTTTGAACCCAGTTATACTTTTGGCCTTCACAACATTTCCTGGCATTGAGTTCCACAGATTGACTGTGTCTTGTGTGAAGAACTCCCTTTTGTTTGTTTCAAACCTGCTGCCTATTAATTTTATTGCGTAACCCCTGGTTCATGTGTTATGTGATGGGGTAAATAACACTTCTTATTCACTTTCTCTGCACTATTTATGATTTTATAGACCTCTATATTATCACTCCTCAGTCATCTCTTTTCCAGGTGAACAGTCCCAGGCTTACTAATCTCTTCTTGCATGGAAGCTGTTCCAACCCCCTAATCATTTTTGTTGCCCTTCTCTGTACCTTTTTCCAATTCTAATGTATCTTTTTTGAGATGAGTGACCAGAACTGTATACAATATTCAAAGTATGTGCATGCCATGGATTTATATAGTGCCATTATGATATTTTCTGTCATATTATCTAAGCCTTTCCTAATGGTTTCTAACATTGTTAGCTTTTTTGACAGCTACTGCATACTGAGCAGATGTTTTCAGGCAACTATCCACAGTGACTCCAAGATTTATTTTCTTGAGCGGTAACAGCTAATTTAGATCCCATCATTTTGTATATACAGTTGGGATTATGTTTTCCAATGTGCATTACTTTGCATTTATCAACATTTGAATTTCATTTGCCATTTTCTTGCTCACTCACCCAGTTTAGTGATATCCCTTTGCAACCCTTTGCAGTCTTCTGTAGACTGAACAATCTTGAGTAATTTAGTATCCTCTGCAAATTTTCCACCTCACTGTTCACTCCCTTTTCCAGAATCATTTCCAAACATGTTGAACAGCACTGATTCCAGTGCAGATACTTGGGTGACCCCACTATTTATCTCTCTCCACTGTGGCCTGCTCTACACTAACCCCCCCAATTCGAACTAAGGTACGCAACTTCAGATACGTGAATAACGTAGCTGAAGTCGACGTACCTTAGTTCGAACTTACCGTGGTCCAGACGCTGCAGGCAGGCTCCCCCGTCGACTCCGCGTACTCCTCTCGCCGAGCAGGATTACCGGAGTCGACAGCGTGCACTTCTGGGGTCGATTTATCGTGTCCAGACAAGACGCGATAAATCGAACCCAGAAGTTTGATTGCCTGCTGCCGAACCGGCGCGTAAGTATAGACAAGCCCTGTGAAAATGGACCGTTTATTCCCGCCCTTTGTTTCCTATCTTTTAACCAGTTACTGATCCATTGCAGGACCCTCTTATCCCAAGACTGCTTACTTTGCTTAAGAGCCTTTGGTCAAGGACCTTGTCAAAGGCTTTCTGAAAGTCCAAGCACACTATAATCACTGGATCACCCCTGTCCACGTGATTGTTGACCCCTTCAAAAAATTCTAATAGGTTGGCGATGCATGATTTCCCTTTACAAAAGCTATGTTGAATTTCCGTCAACGTAATGCGTTATTCTATGTTTCTGATCATTCCAACTTTACCAATTTGCCTGGTACTGAAGTTAGGCTTACTGGCCTGTAATTGCCAGGATCACATCTGGGGCCTTTTTAAACAATTGGCGTTACATTAGCTATCTTCCAGTCATCTGGTACTGAGGCTGATTTAAGCGATAGGTTACATACCACAGTTAGTAGTTCTGCAGTTTCATATTTGAGTTCCTTCAGAACTCTTGGGTGATACCATCTGGTCCTGATGACTTCTTATTGCTTAATTTTTCAGTTTGTTCCAAAACTTCCTCTAATGACACCTCAAGCTGGGACAGTCCCTCAGATTTGTCACCTAAGAAGAATGGCTCTCATGTGGGAATCTCCCTCACATCCTCTGCAGTGAAGACCAATGCAAGGAATTCATTTAGCTTCTCTCCAACAGCCTAGTCTTCCTCGAGTGCTCCTTTAGCATTTTGATCATCCAGTGGCCCCACTGACTGTTTGGCAGTCTTCTGATGTACTTACAAATGTTTTTGCTGTTAGCTTTTAAGTCTTTTGCTAGTTGCTCTTCAAATTGTTTTTGGCCTGCCTAATTATACTTTTACACTTGACTTGCCAGAGTTTATGCTCCTTTCTATTTTCCTCACTAGGATTTGACTTCCAGTTTTTATGGGATGCCTTTTTGTCCCTAATCCCCTCACTTACTTCGTTGTTTAGCCATGGAGGCAGGGTTTTTTTTCTCGTCCTCTTACTGATTTTTTTAAATTTGGGGGTACACATAGTTTGAGTCTCTATTATGGTGTTTTTAAAATTTTTCATGCAACTTGCAGGCATTTCACCCTTGTGCCTGTTCCTTTTAATTTCCATTTAACTCGCCTCCTCAGTTTTGCGTATTCTCTTACACGCAAGCACCCCACTTTGTGATATTCAAGTGTTCAGTCCCTTGTATTTTGGGCACCCTTAATATGCACCTATCTGCTGCCTCTGTGGAAGCAGTACATCCAGTTCACTGGTTTCACCTTAGTTCGGCATTGTCCTTAGCACATGGCACTTATACAGATCTATAATAAAACCAAATTGAAGTTTAATTAACAGAGCTTGAAATAGAGGTTCAAATAAAAGAAGTAGCCAAAATCAAGGGTTTGGAAATCTAAGATTCCAATTAAAATAAAACACTATCTACAGCCTATGCTTATTAACAAGTGACTTTCCTGTCTAACAAGGTATTTCTCACCCAATGGTCAGTCCTTGCAGCGGTTGTCCTGTTCAGAGCGCTGGGATCCAACTTTCATGAGGCACCCCTGCTAACTTTCTCCTTGGCATAACAACTTGTGCCATTTCCTTTGCTCTTCTACAGTTACAGGCTGTTTGTGCTGTCTCCACAGATGTTCACCATTCCCAGTGGTGATCGAGCTAGCCCTGAGGCCCTGCCTTGCCCCAAGTGCCAAGGCTCGCTTCAACAGTTGTGCAGCCTAATCTACATTTGACATCTGATAAACTATTTTCCATACTACTATCGTGCAATAGCCATGGCAACCAGCTAGTTCTTAGCTTTTGGCAGAGACCCTACATGACCCCCTTTGATGACCGGTTGAGAAGTTGGTCGGACACAGGCGTAATAGACCTGCTTGGCGTGTCTGAGTAACACCTCCGTTTTGGGGACTGTGAGGTTTACTCAGGGTTTGTGATGTGCATGGAGGAGCATGCACACATTGTAGTATGTTGAACAGGAAATGCTCCTGGGTCCTCCCCATGCACAACAGACACCAAGTGGAATCCACCTCCTTCCTCAAGTCCACCCTGGGTGGAGAGGGATTCTGGTGCCCAGTGCTGCACCTTGGGTCTCTGCATCTTCCCTCATTGGGCCTCACTCTCTTGCCCTGGAGTGGGGCACTCTTGTCTGTGTCCCTAGCCCTGTGTGAAGGTCACTGGGGTCATATCCCCCAGAATCTCTGCCCCCAAATGGGGCATTAGGTGCCTATGTTCTTTTGAGGATCTGAGCCTGGGCCCCTAGCCTGGGGCTGAGGGTTCCACTGGGCAACAGGCTGCCTAGGGGGTAGGTGTTGCAGTGCTGAGTGGAGCAGCACCTGTGCACCTTTGAGGATCTGGGCCTCAAATTTAGGTGCCAGTGAGTTCCTCAAACCCTAGCCCTGGAGGCATCTGAATCCCTCAATGGCTAAATTTTCACTGTAAAAATCTCATGGTTTTGTTTCTGCTGCTGGGCACATGCACGCCTCACGCTAGGCCTCCGGATACCTAGCTCATGCTTAAGCCCCAGCAGTCTCCTCAAACCAGGTGAAGATAGGTGTTCGTTCGCCTGTCTATCTTGCCTACCCACATGGGGCCCTTATAACCTTTAGCCCAGTGGCTAGGGCACTCCCTTGGGCTGTGGGAGACCCAGGTGTAATTCTCTCCTTGCCTGAGGGGGAGAGAAGATTTGAACAGGGTTCTCCTTTCTCCCCATCAGGCAAGGGAAGAATTAAACCTGGGGCTCCCACCTCCCAGGAGAGGGCACCAACCCCTGGACTTTGGGCTAGTCCAACGTAGGGTTCTCGGAATCTCTCCTGCTGAAGCTGTTCTACTTTGGATAAACACTTAACTAGCCATTGGACCAGAGAGCAGTGGTGTGTCTACAGTGCATTCAGAGATGTGATTGCAACATGTGTAGACATACCCCAGCTGGCCTTGAACAAAGCTAGCCCTTTCTAGCTCAAAGCTAGCTCAAGTAAGCCATGGTGCCTAGAAAATCACAGTGATCCACAAAGCCTGGGTTAGGCCCGTAGGCCCAGACAGTGCACGGGGAGAAAGAGGCACCTGAGAATGGAGTCCACAGAAGCCAGTACACTAGGTAGGGAGCTGCCTAAGCTGTCCAATAGCAGATGCTGATGAGAGGGGTGTGTCCTAAACCCTGCTCCACTTAGGGAGTTGGGAGGCCCCTAGCTCTGCTAGCAATGCACAGCCATCAACCCCTTTCCTGGAGCTAGTGCCTCAGCTGATTTTCACAAGAGGGGGAGGAGGTGCTGCCCCCTCCCTTATAGCTTGTGACCCCATGGCTAGAGCACACCCCTGGGATGTGGGAGACTCAAGTTCAAGTCCCCCCTCCGCCTGATGAGGAGAAACAACTAACAGAGATTTCCCACCTCTCAGCAGCATGCTCTAACCACAGGGCGCTGGGGCAGTCTGACATGGGCCTGCCTCAGTCTCTGCTGGTGAAGCTGTTCCACTGTGGATAAATTATTGACTAGTCATTGGGCCAGTGAGCAAGAGAAGGACTCTGTAGCCTGGTGGTTTGGGCACCTTCCTGGGAGGCAGGAGACCCAGGCTCTCCTCCCCCTGCTCCAGTGATTATCTAAAGTGGAAAAGCTCCAACAGGAGAGAGTGCTGGAACCTCCCATGCCAGTATGCCAGCCTGGTGGTTAGCGCACTCCCCTGAGGGGTAGGAGACCCAGGTTCCCCATCAGGCAGGGAGAGAATTAACACCCTAGTGCTCTAAGCTGGGGTGGCCAACCTGTGGCTCCGGAGCCACATGCGGCTCTTCAGAAGTTAATATGCGGCTCCTTGTATAGCAGCGTTTCTCAAACAGGTTGCTGCTTGTTCAGGGAAAGCACCTGGCGGGCCGGGTTGTTTACCTGCCCC